TACTGATGTACAAACAGGAAACACACTGTTTGCTTGGAAGGTATAATCAGAATATTAATGTAGAGAAGTTGGCCCCAGGTAGCCAAGCAATGAAGGGGCATTCAGGGATGTAACCAATCAGACTAAAGGAAACTGAAAGGCTTTTCCTGCCCTAGCAGAGAAAGTGCAAGGAAAATCCAGGACAAGCAAAAGAGGTAAACTGATTTTTGAGCCCTGATGAATACAATAATGTATTTGTGCAAAGGTAGGTATCACTGTAAAAAGCAGGAAGCAGATTGTATTATATAGTTATGAGTATCCACCTTTTCTATCATGGCAAGCCAGAAGCCATTATTCTGGTTCACTGAGCTTTAGGGTGCAATTGGCTCAAAGAATATCCAGAAATTCATTCTGTGCTCTAGCATCCATTTTTCAGACATGTAACAGCTGTGCGTGAAATGGTGTTTACTTTGTTTTATATTTTATTATAGTATTATTATTTTACCACACAGAAGGAAAAAGCTTTGCTTACAGTCTGATACATGAAGCCCTATTTGCAGGCTGTGGGTCAGAGAGGGTGACAGAATTCCTTGTATAACGTTCTTATTTTTCTAAATCAGGGGTGTCAAACTCAAGGCCCAGGGGCCAGATCCGGCCCACGGGGTACTTAGATTTGGCCCATGGGGCCATCCTGGAAAAAAGCAAAGGACTGTCCCGCGGTGCTTCTGCCAACAAAAATGGGTTCCCGAGCTCTGTTTTCGACTGCCACAGCCTCCTGCAACCCTCTGCCAGCGAAAACGGAGCTCTGGAGCCCATTTTTGTTGGCAGAGCACTCGGGGCACCACAGTATACATGTATGTATGTATGTATGTATGTATGTATGTATGTATGTATACTGTGTATACAATATATTTAATTCCTTTTCTTCTCCCATAACCTAGATACTAAGTATATTGGTTTCAGAAACTGCACAGCATAATTAATACATGAAGGCTTGATTGGAATTAAATCTGATCCAAGAGCAGTATCCATATAACGGTAAAAGCACTTTAAAAAAAAATTAACTCCCAGGATTAAATTTTCTAAGTATTTTGACCACACTTCATTAAGTTTGTTCATGAAAGAGCATTTAATAATTAAAACAATTCCTGAAAATAGTTTAGACAACTGTTCCTTGCAATGCAGTATTGTTGTCCAGTCACGTTGAAAACTAGTTTACAATGGTCCCCTAAACTGAGGTTCCTATAAGGTGGGAGTGATAAACCATGCTCTTGGCAGTATAACCTGTCAAGGTTGATGAAGGAGTTAAGTATGCTAATGGAAAATTGACCAGATGCATTTTTAGATTTCTTCTCACTACAGATGTCTGATTTCATCCCTCTGTCAAAATGTATGGAAGGAATAAGAGACTTGAAAATATAATAACAACAATACAAAATTATATTTTCTTGCAAAAACCAGAACTTTTTTCTCATCAGGGGATAAATTACAAGAAAAAATGAAAAAGATTAATCCATGCTACAAAGTTCTCCATTTAAATACCTAAATATTATGAAATATAGTTTTAAAACTACAATAAACATTTCATTTTAGCAATACTGAGTGGCAGTTTCAAATGCCTTGAAACTCAGTTATAAATATGGTTATTTCTTAGTAACAGTCCAATGGGTTTGCAAGATCCCCTAGTCTTTATTTCATCAGCGAATAATCTAGTATTAGAGAAGAAAACAGAACCTCTAATCTCTTGTCCCAACTACAGGCATGGATCACTTTGAGTATACTAGGGACAATTTTCACTCCTTCCTTTCTCATCTCCTTGAGTTTTCCAACACCCTGATTATCAGGTTTGGCACACTATACTTGTTTCTCCGGATTGTGAAAAATTAGGCTTGATTGCCCATCAAGCTAGGCATGAACTTTAGTTGAAACAAGCTCCAGTTCTGGTCCAGAGGACAAACATAAAATATAAACCAGGTTCACACAACATATTGAACCATAATGTGAATTGGTGTAATATATCAGCCAAATAAGAGTTTGTTGATTTGGATATAATAACAACCAACCATTTGCCTGCACCCAGAAATGAACAGGGAATTGGAAAATTGAAGGCTGGAGCAAGATGAAGTTCACATGTAAGTTTAAGAATGGCCACAAACCTTAGGATTACATGTGAACTATGCCATGCTGGCATCATATATCCCACTAAACATTTATGTGATTTGATTGATTCTGGAATAACAGGATATGTTAACTCAAACACTGCAGTTTGTAAAGCATGCGCTATAGCTTAATACTAAGTGTGACCTCAATAACTCTGTTTTGTTAAGCAACCAAAAAAAAAAAGTAGAATGATGTAAGTAGCCTTCTGCTTAATCTAAACACACTATCAGATGTTCCTTAATTAGAAGATAGACTGCCTTCTATAAAGTGCTACTTGATTCCCTCTAGTCATCTTTTAAGAATGAATAGATGTAGAAAACAATTGGGTATTTTTGAAAGTGCACTTTAGTTGTTGAACACCTCAATTTTAAGGTAAATTCTCAATAATTACTTAACAAAATGTTAGAATATGGCAGAGGTATGAGGCAAACACAGATGTCCCTCAACAACTTAGAAAAATTATTAGTTTAGAGAAAGTATTTCTTGGAGCTTTTGATTTTCTTTTCAGCTCAGAGAAGAATGTTTCTAAATACATAGGACTGCCATTGCATATCAGTAGAACATTGGTGATTTACAAGCCTAAAAAAGAGATTTGTATTATTGGGTTTAAATAAGAATTTATCAAAATTATAATTTATATTTTGAACTATTTACAATTTAAAATGCTATTTGTTTAATGTATTTACATTTTGTCTTTTTATTCATTTGATAGTCAAGATTGTTGGCACAACATCTTGCATGCTGGATTGCAAATACCAATGAAAAACTGTCCTTATAAATAAATCTTGTTCATCTATTTTTTAATCCCTGTTCTATACTGAAAAGCAAAAAATTGTGATTAAAACTCCCAGAATTGCCAGCCAACATGGACTAGAAGTCCTCACATTTTGAAGATGCCAGACTAGAAAAAGCAGTTGTAAAACAGACATTCGCACATACATGGACATGAATGATAGTGATTGGGAAAAACTGAACTCCTGAGACTAACGTAGCACCTAAATCTATTGGCAGAAGTTTTTGCCTTCTGAAGATTGGTTTGTGAAAGTTCAGTCATTATGCATGCATCATCAAAATGCTAATTTCATTGGTTCAAATAAATGTTAATACATGTTAAGTTCTAAAATGGTTATGTTCACTGGGAATAATAGAAATGGAAGTCCACAAATATCTGGAGAGCACAGGTTGAACAGACCATTCTAAACAAGAGATACAGATACAGATACATATCCACGTTTAATGAATGAATTCTTTATTGGCCAAGTGTGATTAGGCACACAAGGAATCTGTCTGGTGCATATGCTCTCAGTGTACAGAAAAGAAAAGACACATTCATCAAGAATCATAAGGTACAATACTTAATGATAGTCATAGGGTACAAATAAGCAATCAAATCATACTAGGAAACAGTCAATATAAATTGTAAGGATACAAGCAACAGAGTTAAGTCATACAGTCATAAGTGGGAGGGGATGGATGATAGGAACAATGAGAGGATTGATAGTAATAGTAATGCAGACTTGGTAAATAGCTTGACGGTATTGAGGGAATTATTTGTTTAGCAGAGTGATGGCATGGAGGAAAAAACTGTTCTTGTGTCTAGTTATTCTGGTGTGCAGTGCTCTATAGCGTCGTTTTGAGAGTAGAAGTTGAAACAGTTTGTGTTCAGGATGTTATGGATCTGTAAATATTTTCATAACCCTCTTTTTGGCTTGTGCAGTATACAGGTCCATGGTGTACCATGGTGTACTGAAAAAAGCCCATTCTTGGCTAGGTTAACAGTGCAAGCAAACATAGTTTATAAAAAACAATGGTTGGAATACAGCACTGTGTTAAACCTGAACCAAACAAAGCATGAGGGCTCCTTGGAGCTCTCTGAGCTTGCTTGTTTTCTTGCTTGGAGAGCACCAAGGACCTCACATGTCAACCTTGAACTACAAATATTCTCCTTTATTAGCAAACAAGGCTTTATCATAAATTCTAATAATGCAAATAAAAACTAAAAAACATTACCATTTTAGGAGGCATCCTAAGTTGTACTTAACTCCAAGAAAAAAAAAAGTATAAATAAGATCTTAATGACATGTTTTGTTAAGAGCATGGCTTGCAGTCATATAGGTTTTATTTTATTTTATTTTATTTTTAGGCAGAAAAAAGAATGATTTAGGCCAAAGTACAAGAGAAGATTTTCCTCTTTGTGTAAAACAGTGGGGAAAGAGTTAAAACTCCCTTTTTCATTTGCTGCAGCAAATTGGGGGCTGTGCAATTAAAATTCTAAATGAAAGGGCTAAAAAGCTATATATACAAGATAATCCTACACTGATTTCATAACTGGGAACTAGCAACTGGTTTTGACCTGTACACATATTGCACATCTTAAAGTGACTCTTTTGTTTTTGAATAAGAAAGGTTGTGTGAACCTAGACATTTTAGTTGATAAAACGTGGCTTTAGGTTTAGCATGTTGGATGGACTCACCCAAACCTCCTTTTTTTTACACATACAATACATATGATTAAAGAAAAAATAGTTTAGAAAAATGTACCAAGTGACATGTAAATTGCAGAGAGTCAAAAGGCTTAAAGAAAATATTTTTTGCCAAAATAACCCCAACGAAACAGTGTACTGAAGCCATAGAACTATATTTCATAGTTATCACATTTGTGGGAGGTTCTTTCCAGCCAGGAACAAGCAACAATTGCTTAACTTAAGTCAATCATTTCTAGCTAATATATAGCCTCAGTTGAAAATATTAGACAAATATGGACTCAGAAGTCAAAGCAAGATCACCGGAAAAATCATAATCTCAGTGTCATTTTTCTCATTATTAGTAATTTGTTTTAAATTAATTTTTAAAGCTTCAGGATGGTTCCAAAAAAGATGATAACAAGTCTTCTGCTCCTCTACATAACAGCCATGATGGTTAAAGAGAGTGAAGGGTACCTTGCCTTCTATAGTCGTGAGGATTTCAGAAGAATGCAGGTGAGTCTCTTGAGAAATGGATCAGTGACCAGAAATGATATGTTGCTGAATGTGGCGGAGCTTCAAATCCAGTTCCAGGGATTTCTGAGAAGATCTGAACAATAGGGCCATCCTTTAAGAATTCCAAAGGTCAATAGCTAGACAGTTAATTTTAGCCAATACTGAGCTAAATGGACCAATGTCTGACTTGGAGTAGGATAGCTTCTTATATTCTAGTGATTGGATTGCCTTCCATTTCTTCTAATCCTATCTGTTCACCATTTTACTGCATTATTTTGTTCTCCTCTAGCAATATTTTACTATAATTTTATTCTCTAATCATTAGAAACCAGCTAGAATCTAGAATCAGAATTTGGCTTTGAGGTTAATAATTTAGATTTGCTTCCTGCCTTCAAATTTCACAGAAGCAGAACAATTGTCTATTTCTTAAAGAGCTATGATTATTCGGGTCTTGGCATTGTTGGGTTCAGCCTCTGAGGCAGTTGTCACACCATCCAAATGAACCCATGTGCATTACCTAATTAATTCAAAGGAGACAAGATAATAAGAATTTCTTTAAGAAGAAATTGCTGGAAAATTGAGCAGACCACTGTCTATATTCTCAGAGAAAAGCTTAATTTACTTTCTCAGAAAATGCCTATTAAGATATATAAAAATTCATGATAATGTATGTATGATGCCATAATGAAAGCAGGGCATATAAACCACAGGCCTTATTTAATCTTCCAAAACATCGAAAGTTACCTTCACAGCATCTTCAAAACATGCAAGTGAATTTTGTTTGTGACAGAAGGAGAAAAGTATAGTTGGTCCTTATAAATGTATTGTTCATGCATGAATTTTCTTCATGGATCAATGTGTTATGAGTGTTTTTTTCAACATATTAATAGCATTACATCAATCTAATTAACCTATGTCCTGTCTAATTAATCTCCTTCATATCCTGCCTTTCTCCATTGTTTGGTATGTGGCATACTAACAAAACAACCAATGCTGGCCTCCACATGAAAAAGGTTCCTTACACTAGTCAAAACATGTTCTATAGAAGCTCAGCAGTCAGCTAATGTATAAAGCCCAATAATTAGCTGTAAATTGCAGCTAGTCCAACAACAACATAATGAAGATTATGAGAACTAAAGCACTTCTGGTGTTTTAGCTCTTATTGATTCAATAGATTAGAGAATGCCAAAGAATCTGCAGCACAGGAATATCTTACTTATAGCATTTATCAACTTTGTGCCTCCACCAAATGTACTGCATTTTATTTTTGGTCAGGTCAACTGGAATTATGGGTTGATGCTTAACTAACCTGTACAACATCAAATTGCAAAAGTTGATCTAATATGTAGAACATGAAATAAAACTGAGCTTATGATTTGATGCAATGATGAAGAAATTGTATGCCTGTAGGTCATATTCTTCAGTAAGTAAACCAGGACTCTGAATATAAAGTTTTTAAACACATGCTGTTAAGGGAACGGAATGGACTATTGACAACTGTAACATCTATGTAGTTGCATTTCTGTCATTACCTGACCAAAAGCTGGCCTACTTGATGATTGTATCCTTCCGTACATCTCCAGGAGAAAGAAAAGAATCAAGCACAGAAGAAATTGCTTGACACAAGAGATATTGTTGAAGTTGCAGAAGATGAAGGGCAAGTAATCAAGGTACACTATTCTTTGGATTATGACAATTAAGCAGGTAGATACAGCAAGACAGCTTTTCTGAAATGTCAGTCTGTGTATCGGGGGAGGGGGGCTTACATACAGAGAAACCTAATGCAAGCCAAATTTACTGCAATATTCTTAGACTGAGATATTCACAGGCAGAATCTGCTTTATTCTTTTTTGCACAGCTTGATATCCTGTAGGTTTCCAAAAACACTTTAGCCAATAAAAAGTTCCCTTGCAGTACAAATACTATTACTATTAAACTATTCTAGTGTTCAAAATGAGATATACTTGAGTTGATTGAAAGAAAGATTATCATGAATCACTAGTCAAATATGAATGTTCATTTCTTTTCTTTGGAAAGAAGAAAGCTCACATGAAGTTCAGTTCATCTGACTCAGAGGTTGTCATTGATGAGTTTCAGTAATCAGGGACAGAAAAGTTTACTTCCCTCATTAATCAGAGGGGGGAAGTCTACTTGTTTGTTTAAGCCCAATATTGAATAATCCAGTTAATAAGGTGCCCAACACCTGGCAACAAAATGGACAAATACTCTCATCTTGAACAATCCTTAGATCTTCAAGAGACAATCTTTGACCCTGCCTATCCACTATTTTCTATCCTCTGTCTTATCAACCATTGCAGATTTCTTCTAGTCTATCATCTGTTTGAATCCTATTTTCCAAGTATGAGACTTGCTGATCTTAGAGGAGCAACTAGTCTTTATCTGGCCAGGAATAAGTGTTTGCTACACTTGTTCATTTTATTGTCTCCAAAGTCATCATTTGAAGATGCTTATCTTCTAATCGGGACTAGGAAAAGCCATTATATCAACCATTCGGATCTTGTAGTCATGGGACATCTTCATCCTCCATATTTGTCATTGCTTTCCCCTAAGATTAACACAGTTTCTGTTTTAACTATTCTTCAGCCCAAGAAAACTATTTACCAGTCACACATTAATGACAGGGAAATTGCAGCCTGAAGGAACTTATCTGGACAGGTTAGCAGAAATGCAGAGAATATAAACATCCAACCATCTTGAAAGAAAAAAAGGATAGTGAATGAATTTTTTAAAAACCAAAAACTCCTCTTTCTGGAGTCAGAATGCTAAAGAATCAGTTAAGAAATGTGTGTCATCCAAAATATTTCATTTGACCTTTGATTTTAATGCCAGTTGTCTCATTCAGTTGCACATTTTATAATATATTTGCTATATATACATTCTTGCCTTATTCCCTTCATTACTGTGAAACATTCTATCTTCAAATTCAGTTGTTACAGTAGTTTTTAGTTCATTTTAAAGATTTTTCTTATTAATAATCATGTGTTCGGGCACACCCCTTAGCCATTCCTTATTCTGCAGTGTATCATGAGCTGTTCAATACAATGCCTCACTCTATTCAAAAAAGCAAAACTAAAGCTAATTAAATTCCCTTGCTTTCTCCAGTACCCATCTTATGGATAATAATTTCTTCATGTCCCTCTATTTTTCTAAAACCTACTTGTTTATGTGGGGTTTATCTCTCCCTGTCTGATTATTTGTACAATCTTAAGCAAAACATTGCTTGTGAGACAAATTAGCACAATGGTTTGCTAATTTGCACATTCTCTTGTATCTCCATTATTCAGTATGGGCATGTACATCATTCTTTCACAATCTTTAGGCCACATGGTCTTGTTCCATACTGAGCTTTAAAACAGCCAAGTTGTTAATTCATCTATGTTTTCCTATTTGACAGGTGATCCATTGCCTCTTGTGCTTCGGTTTTAATGCAGCAGACACAGGAATAGATTCTATATCTTTCACTGTTTCTATCACACTCTAATCCTGTTTATAAAGAGTTTCCGTACTGACTTTCCTTTAATCTCATTTGTCTGTACTGGATCATTTACCTTGATTATTCTTAAATAGCTAATTTGCCTTAGACTGTCCTTTTCTGATTTTCTTCTATCAGTTAACATTCTTTTTTTGTGGGGTGAGGGGAATTGAAATTTGAAGACAATGAAAGGAGGTAGATGTAAAGTCCAGAAGTACTGCACTCAAAAACCAAGTCAGGAGACATAGAATTCCAATCCCTGTGCCCTGATAAGTAATCAGGTTTAATGAACATTTTGCAGGCCAGGAAAAAGGGGCCATTTTGACGTTAGTAGGCAAGCTATTCCAAAGTGCAGCAGCCGCAACAAGAAAGGTATGCTTTCAAGGTCCCAGCAGATTACAATTCATGAGAAAAGGGACTCAAAGCATGAAGCCTGGCCATCTTAATCTTATTGGGTATGCAGACATTACTGAGAGAAGGAGGTCCACAGATATCCAGGCCCTGAATCATGAAGGGACAACTAACACCCTGGATTGAACCCAGAAGCCAACTAGTAGCTATTGCACCTCTTGAATAGAGGTGTTACATAGGCACACCAAGATATACACATCGCTATTCAAGCTATATCATTTCAGATTAATGTATCCTTGCTCTCTTAACAATCAGAACAGGGAAAAGAAAATGCAATGTGAATTTAAGCTTGGCATACAAATTCTTCTCTTCCACCCACCAATATGCTGATTATCTATAACTATTGCCTTCAGCTGACAACTTGTACATCTTGTACTATTTTTTGTATATTTGCTTTAGATGAATAAGTGATGCACCTTGAATTTGCTGTATATTTTTGTGCCCCTAGACTATCTAGCATGCATTATGTTTACATATATCACACCATTTCCAGCAGCATGAAGGAAGATATAGAACATTTGTAACAATGTTGAAAAGGTAATTCAGGTGCCTTCATTTCAAATTTATGCCCATTATTTCCTCCTCCCCATTTCATGTGTATAATGCCAGCAACACTATTCTGAAACTGTAGATACTATCTACCATTCACTGTTAGCAAGTCCCAGCAGATAACATCCAAAGGGTGCAATTATGCAATTATGAAAATTAATCTAGACTACATACAAACCACAAGAGCCCTTTTAAATGTCCCAATCCATCCCAAAATTATTACATTTCTCATGATTCTCTTTAATCCTTCTGTGTTACTTATTAAAAATGTTCAAAAACCATGAAAGCAAGCAACAGGAGCAAATATATTCATTTTATTTGCATTCTATTCTCTGAACATTGGATTTTCAGGAGAGATTTTTCCATGCCACCTGAGGGACTCCATATTTCTTGTGTATGAAAACTAATGTTCTTGCTAGTCCAGATGTTTGAATCAATCACAGTCCAATAGTTTAATAGTTACTGATGTGCATGCATCATTGTGAACTGGACTATGGCCTCAAGACTTCAAAAAGGGATAAACTATCAAAACCTGTAAGAACAAAAAACACTGAATCTAGGTTTCACAATCACCATTTGAAAAAAGCAGCTTAACTCTATTTCACAGGTCGTTGTGATCGAGCTAAAATCTGAATCTAGAAAACCCTTTACCAATATTCATCAATAACAAATTCCCACTTATGGAATATCTATCTAGTATACATGATGCATAAGTGGTTAAAATGTTGGCTTGCCTTAGATGTTAACCAAGTTCTCCTTCATAGATGATTGCTCCAATAGAAATTGGAATACATCTGAGCTTCAAACAGTTGGAAAAATACCAAGATGTCTTGAAGGAGCTCCTGACAGAGGTGTCAGATACTAAGAATGGCACTACAGAAATCTTAAAATTGGCTTTTCTCTCTCCTTGGAAGTTATCTAAGTCCTAAGACTTCAGAAATACCTTTTGCCTTGTGTCATGTTTTTACAAGGTACTGTATAGGTTCTGTTTGTTTTTTTTAAGAAATAAATATCCCCACTTCCCTACCCCCAAAAATACACCACTAGAAATTATATTGAAGTTCGCATTAGCAAAAAAGTAGAAAGAATGTAGATCTGTATCAGTAGCAGAAAGGCCTTGTGCTTTGGAAGATTTTCAACTTTTAGAAATCATATGTCTGATGAAAGTCAATTGTACTGTCGGTTTTCATCTTCTGTACTGCATTTTACTGTACTAATTTTAGACAACTTTCCCTAAAGTTATAAGAAAATTTAAAAGCTGTGATTACAATGCATTATGACCCTAACCCTACCTTCTGCTTCAGAATAGATATTACATTTTCTCACTAAAATTATTACCAAATTTAGAAGTTAAGTGAACTCTAAGCTTGCAGGTTGCTATAGATTGTATATACATTTGATAAGGAAATACAATAAAATATGATTATCTTTCAGTTCCTCTATATTGACATAAACATGATCATTTAATAAGCCAGTATACTAGAATCCAAATTGTAGGAAATTGTGTAAAACCAGGAATCAGGAAATACTAGATAGACAATTATATCAAAAGTCTCTACAGTGTGCTGTAGCAAAATGTTCCATGTAAATCCATACCCAGAGGAAGATCTTCAAAACTATGATGGCTTCTTAATTAAAAATGTATATATCATACTGTATGCAAAGTTAGCAATAGTCTAGAGAAGAAAAATTACAACCTACCATACACATGTGATTCCTATCATAATGTCACCTGATTTCATGCACTTTTTGTTTTGCTTTTTTAACTGATAGATGAGTCAAGCTGATGTCTGCACAGTATTAATTCACAATAATGGCTTTTGGCTGTTTCATCTCTGTAGCTAACTGATATTCTAAGAATTAGAAGACTGGAAGATTTTCTGCAAATATACAAGAATCAATTTACTGGAAATGCTATTGTAAGGCACTGTACTGCAAAATAACAATGTGTATGCAAATTAATAAAATGTGAAGCTTCAGTATATGATTATTTTGTTCAGTGTATAGTCATAAAAATTTTAAAAGGCACCCAAGGATACAAAAGTTGTTGTTTCAAATAACTCTATATTTGTTTTCTAGATAACGTTCACTCAACACATCACTCTTGTAAACCCAGATTATTTCAGGTGCATTCCCATGCATTCTTGTTTATGTATACATTTAATTCATCATAACTGAATCAGATTCTTACCACTTTACACTAATTAAATGGGTTATATTTCTAGCAGACATCTCACAGGCTTGCACTTCTAGGACAATGAAACCAATTAATCTGATAGATAATACCCAACAATATGGTATCTTGTATATAATTCTGAAATTTCCCAAAATAATAATAATACTTTATTTGCGGTCACAAACTAAAACACAAGTACAACAAAAGAAAAACATGGGAAAGTTAGTCATGACCAATTGGTCACTAAAAACTTGACTAAGGGGAATTACAGCGTTCTCATCTATTTCCCAAAATAAATAACATTTCTGATTTTTTGTAGATCATATTCAATGGTCAACAATCCTGTTGATTAAAGTTTTTGCAATAATAACATCATCAATAATTTTTCCCATTCTTATTTATTTGAACTACACAGTTTCAATATCATTTAATTCAACCCTTCTCTTAACACATGCAAGTTGACTATACAACATATACAATTTATGTATTTTTGTATGTATAAAATTATTTATTTATACTACAACATAGAAAATTTAAAACAGAAGAATCAGTCATCTTTCCTTCACTAGACAATGCACCCTCAAAATCCCTAACTTACAGAACTCTCCCATAACCAATAAAAACCCACATTGAACCCTACCACACATTATTTTCTTATGAACATGTCCTTGCCCCCAAAGCATATCACCAACAGCATTCCAGTTGTATATACTGGATTCCCATCAACCTGCAGAAAACAGACTTTTTCTTTTTCCAACTTCAGCCAACAGATGAGGAAGTAGGACAGGAAATAGATGGTACAGCAATGAAAAGTAGTCCTCTACAGGGGCAATTGGGAGAATGAGAGAAATGAAGGGGGTGAAGGACATTGTACTGGGTGGTTTGGTTTTGGATAGTTCAACACATTTCCCAAAGAACAAGTCATGCAGCTCTGATTGAAAGTTTCCTCCAAACTTTTCATGTGTAACTGTTCTTTCTCTAAAGATGTGCCATGCAGCTCATATTTAGAAACTATTCCTACATACTTTATTGTGCTGTTTCTGCTCAAGACCTTTGGTATGTTGTGACTAAAATACCACAGCCATTTTTTACAAAGCCTACTGAAAGGCTCTTGTTTCAAAAAGAAGAATAGTGAAGAAAATAGAGGAGAAAAGTAGGTTGTTTTTTGGATATGATCTGAATGTTTTCCAGTGCAACTGATTATGATGTGGCATGGCTCATTGTTCTGCTTACTGACTTATTATTAATAATTATAAGCTTTGTATAAAGAATAATGTGCCTTTGACATACATCTATCATTGGGCACAAGCTTGCAAAGATATACATGTGATGAACACAGGAATAAAAGATCTTTCTTAGAGGCTTATGCTATAAATCATAATGGACTCAGCAAACTTTTCAGCCAGTGGGTAGCACCATGCAATCTTATAGAGTGATGCTGGCACCAAAATGTTAAATTAAAAATAACCACATCTTATATAATTTTATAATTATATAAAATTATATAATATATAATTTTATTAGTTACTCAGAGAACTACACATTGCTGCTCAACAACTATTGTCAAAATTTTGTCCTTAACAGAATTAATTTGTAAAAGAGAAATAAGTTGCCAAACTGTAACTAGGATAAAGACCAATATTCCCACTCCATTAGAAGATAGAGATAGGTGAGGGACTGGTGTATTGCTCAAGAAACAGCAAATAAAAAGCAAGCTTTCCAAGAACTGCACTACACTTGACTATGCTTCTTATTACCAAACAGCCCAGTGTCTCTCTTTTTAAGTCCTTTGGCTTCAGGACTGACCTTTTAGAAAAAATGGTTTTCTTCAGACATTTCATTACCAACTAGGCAACTTCATCAGTGTCAGATACAACCCTCCCATAAACTGCCCAGCAAGATGGAAAATAGCCTAAGAGATTTGGGGGTGGGGGGAATGATATGATCATGGATGCACACTCAGACTGAATAAATATCAGCACACCATGGAAAACCTCAAGGAGCAGCTTGAACAGACCATCATTCTTGAGCATCTTGAAAGGCTGAACTAGCACAGATGAGGTTACCTAGTTTGGTAATGAAAAATCTGCAAGAAAACCACCAAGATCAGAGAGCACCAAGGACCCCACAGTTCAACCTGAGCTACAAATATTCTATCAATACTTCACTTTATATTAATTGCTGACATCATTATTTGACATCTGATGAACAATTGTCACCATATAGGTGGCACAGTTTTCACAGCAGTAACATTTGAAAGGTAGAGAAAGGAAACTCAAGTGAAAGAATGACATGGGTGCCACAGATGAAATCAATCCATTTTCATACTTTTAACTTTAAAGTAAATTCTTCTGTCATTCTGAATTGTTGAGAAACTAGAGCACTGCAGCCAGAACAGCACCCAAGCCTTCTGCTCTCTAGTATGGATGCTAGTTTTCAGGAAATGCTTTTTATCTAACTGATAGCTGCAATCTCCAGTGATAGTACTGTTTCCATGTTCATAAATGTACTCAGTAGTATTTACATACCATTTCATTCTCCAACATAAATTCAAGCAGAGATAATATTCATAGAAATAACAGAATAACAGAATTGGAAGGGACCTTGAAGGTCTCCTAATCTAACCCCCTTCTCAAAAGTTATAGGGGTTTGAAATGGTTGCCCAAACCCTCTTAAAAACCTCCAGTTTTTAAAAAGTTTAATAAATGTTTGGTTAAGTAGGAATCAATTCAAAGAATTCTGGCAGTTAAAAGTTATAGATGTTTATTCATTCCTTCAAAACATTCATCCAACTGGTATTTGACTTTTCTATTCAAGCAATTCTTGTATACCTTTCCACCAATATAAAATGAGTCTCCTCCAACTCCTACCTCACAAAGTTTATAAGGAATATAATTAATCTGCTCTCAAGAATATAAATGATTTTTGCAAGAAAATCCCTTTTTTCAGTGTTCAGAATGTGAAGAAATGCCCCTTCTCTTGTTATTTCCTCTAGCTTAAGCTTTTATTGCAAACGTAGATACAAGTTGAACTATGCCTGCACCACTGAACAATGGGTAACCCATCGTCTGCAGATCCTGGGTCTTGCTGAGTATTTTTTTTTCCTAGGAAATCCCACCCATTCTTTTCACTGCTCATCTGCAAGGAGCTCAGTGGAGAGAAGGTTAAGATTTTCAGAACTGATCTAAGGCAATGATATCGCTGATCTTATCTTCCCTACTCCCAAATTTTCAATACCTTCAAATCTGTTTTTTATATTAATTGGGGCTTTTATCGGGGGGGGGGGGTGGAGATCTAGCACCATCAATAATTATGTTATTTTTATTTATTTTATTTTATTTGGTTTGTCAATTGCTTACAAGATAATAGGTATAAGTAAAAACATAGTTATGAATACATGGATACATATAAGAAAAATAAAAGAAACAATAGGACAGGGATGGTAGGCACGTTGGTGCGCTTATGCACGCCCCCTACAGACCTCTTAGGAAAGGGGTGAGGTCAATAGTAGACAGTCTAAGGTTAAAGTTTTTGGGGTTTGGGGAAGAAACCACAGAGTCAGGTAGAGTATTCCAGACATTGACCACTCTGTTGCTGTAGTCATATTTCCTGCAATCAAGTTTGGTGCGATTAACCTTGAGTTTGTATCTATTGTTTGCTCTTGTATTGTTATGGTTGAAACTGAAGTATTCATTGACAGGTAGGACATTGCAATGTATGATTTTATATACTATACTTAGATCGGACCAAAGG